GATTAATTAGTTAAATTATTGCGTCGTTGATTAAAGATAGATGTAATTACTTGTTTGCAACGTTGGCGACCATTGTCAAACTTGCAGAACTTAAAAAGAGCAAAGAAGAGAGAGAGAGAGAGAGAGAGAGACACACACACACATAGCCAAAAGCTAATTAGCTTATCATTCCAATAAGATGACTTAGATTTGGGATAACTCACGATGGAATCCCTAGAACATGGCTCAAAGAAAACGATCATTAAATATTGTTCGATAAAGAGAAAGTAAGATTAGGAATAAATAGGTAGAGAGTCACATGAGCTGTCTTCTTCTATGCGGTGACCATTAAACATTGGCTGATACAAAGCAACTTATTTATTTATTGGACAAAGAAAGCCACTTTAATTGTACTTCACTCGTCCGGAATGACCAAAGAAACGTTCTTCCAAAAGGTTCTCCCCTTATCTTCCACAATCATAGCTAGCACTATAGCGAAACTATTGCACTGCTAAATCTGATTCTTCTTCATAATAATTACTAAGGCGGATTCATGATTTGGAAGTTGATGAAGAAAAGAAGGCCAATATGTATGGTGATCAGTACTTGATGCTATAATAGTTTGAGATGCCAGATTCAAGTTCCTCAAGCTGAGGACAAACCAATGGATAAGCCAAAGCAACTGTGAGGAATAAGTTCCTTCCCTGACTCTCTCTCTCTCTCTCCCTCTCAAATCCCAACTTCCTAATCTTATCTGAACTCAGAAAATTAAAGGATAAACAACAGCTCAAGGAATGCATCATTGGGAAGGCGTAGAGTAGATGTGCTGATAGAGGTAAAGAAAAGTAGGGAGCAGAAATGATGGCTGCAGGTGTGAGTGTGCTCCCAACATGATGGCTTTGGTAGCTGGCCGTTCATTTCATGGCCCCTCCATATCCTTCTTGTTTGGAACGACATAGAAAAGCTCCACAGATCGGTGCAGATATTTGGGACCTTATCACGTGCCCCTGCCAACTATTCCGACGACTGTTTCTTGAAGGAATAAATGTCCTTTATTTGGCTGCTGGATGAAAGCAAGGCTTTCTGTTGTTCCACAGATCGGTGAACAATAGAGCACAGAAGCAGCAGAAGAAGTGGGTGTCATCCCATGAGCTTCGTCCTCACTTCTCAGTCAGGAGGGTGCTCATTTATCTTGTATAATAGTGAGAAATTTTCTCTCTCTCTTATATATATATAATGAAATAATAAAGTCCAAATATTTTGATCAAGTCCAGAGTCACATATTCAGGTCCTTGATTAAATTTTACAGCAGATCAATTCGACACGAATCTCAAAGATCGTGACATGACATGATTATTTCTGCTGTGATTGTTGGACACGATAAGCCAACTTGCCTATTATTTCTCCAACCATGTGGGGAGCCACGTGCAGCCCATTCGCAACGGTCAAACGACAACCGGTTATCACGTACGCGACCACGATAAGTTATGGGAAATCGCAGTCCACTTCACGCCTCGCCCAGTCGCTTTCTATCTCATTTAAGACGGCAATCCAAAAAGTACACGAGTTCGTAGGCCCATCGTCAACCTGTTCTCCCATTGGTTGTTGTCTCGGACTTTTACACGTGTAATCTTCCAATTGGTTTTCTTTCCGTGTTGTACGACTGCCAACTGGTACGGCCGAATAGCCTCTCGCACAAGTAACGTCTCCTTTTCCCGGTCCCCAGTCCGGGCCTAAACAAGCAGCATCTGACCGTCCATTGCGGCGCATTATTGGCGAACCAACCGATCCGACGGTCCCGGTTGGCGAGGCATTGCTAAGGTGTCTTGATCACCAAAAGAGTCCAAATCAACCCAATTGAAACGGTGGGCCCAGTGCCACGGCTCAATAATAATCGAGTACCAGCTAAGAACCACTATAACCCCATAGTTCCTAAAGCATCCGGCAAAGTTGAATCAGACGGCCCCAATTCACTCTTCGATTCATTAAAGAGCATAAATTAACTTAGTGTATAGGGTAGGCTCCATCCGTCGCCTTAAACAGAGCATAACGATACATAAACTACTGGAACTTTACCTAACACAAAAGCTAACAATAGCATAGCTTATCTATGAATAAGTTGCTGCGTCCGCTCCACCTGATGTCAGCAATTTTGAGGTACGGTTAAGGGTAAACTTGGTGATGGGAGAAGAGGACGCCCATCGGCCCAAAGAAAATTGAGAGAAACAGGGGATGTTAAGATTCTGTTCAACCGTCCGATTAGAAGATCCATGGAATCCGCCGTCCACGTCGTCGGTCGTGAGATGCGGATCCCTTTCTGTTTATAAATATTCTAAGCTCCACTGGAATTTAGTGGCAAAAGAGGGAGTGGGGAGAGAGAGAGCAGTGGGGAATTCTAGATTGTTGAGATCGGATCGAAGCTCTATGGGCGAGGCATTGATGAGGGACTACGAGATCGGGGCGGAGATCGGGCGGGGGCGATTTGGGGTGGTGCGGCGGTGTCGGTCGGTGGCCACGGGGGAGGAGTTTGCGGTGAAGTCGGTCGATAAGCGGCTTCTCGCGGACTCCGTCGACCGCGAGTGTGCGGCGCGGGAGGCCAAGGTCCACGGCCTCGCTGCTGCCCGGAACCCCTACGCGGCGCAGATCTACGACGCATATGAGGATGACCACTGGGTGCACCTAGTGGTGGAGCTCCTCGACGGCCCCGACCTCTGCGACCGGATCGCCGCCCGCGGGGGGACACCGTTCCCCGAGCCGGAAGCGGCAGCTGTGGTGGAGGCGCTTGCGGAGGCCCTAGCTGGCTGCCACCGACGGGGGGTAGCGCACCGGGACGTGAAGCCGGACAACGTGCTCTTCGACGCGCTGGGCCACCTCAAGCTGGCCGACTTCGGGTCAGCTCAGTGCTTCCTCGATGCAGACGGGGAATGGGCGCCGATGAGTGGGCTGGTGGGAACACCGTGGTACGTGGCGCCGGAGGTGGTGGCGGGTCGGGAGTACGGGGAGAAGGTGGACGTGTGGAGCGTGGGGGTGGTGATGTACATGATGCTTTCCGGCGGAGCGCCCCCGTTCTACGGGGACACAGCGGCGGAGACCTTCGAGGCGGTGGCCAGGGCCAACCTGAGGTTCCCGTCGAGGGTTTTCCGCTCGTTGTCGCCGGCGGCCAAGGACCTGATGCGGCGGATGCTCTGCAGGGACGTCGCAAGAAGGTTTTCCGCCGAACAAATCCTCGGTAAGTTGTACTGTTCATCTCGATCGATTCTATCCCATTTGATTTCAGTATCAGACGGTCTTGTTGTTCGATCCTATTGTTGATTTCTTTGATTCTGCATCTTTCTTTTCGCCAAGAACTCATTTCTTTATTCAGATATAGGGATTTTAACGTAGTGACGATTCTTTGTTGATAACCAGGGCATCCTTGGATTTTAAGTGGAGGGATGAGTCCGGTGGAGGGACCAAGCCGGGATCCATCACTGTCCATGGAGAGCCCGGAAGGCTCGCTGCTTGGGCTCTGCGCATAGCGCATACCGTGTACGAATACGGCATATTTTGTTTTCTTCGACAGTCACTTTCGTTCGAAGAAGGTTTTAGAACCGATGAGATAAGAGATGATGAGTTTTCCTCCACCGGAGTGTACATAAAAATGTAAAGCCTCCCCATCCCTCGTGGGATGTTCCTTCTACTCGTCTGTTTGACTCGTTGGCGTGGAGATGTATGAAGAGGAAGAAGATATGTGAGAATTTGCATCTTTTGTATCTGCTTGTATAAAAATTAAGTGTATCCTTTCCTACCTGATAGCTGCGGTCTCTTATTTCCTCCCGTCTCTGCATTCGTATGTGTCATGTTGTCCCGTTGGTTGTCGTTGGGCCCTTTGTTTACTCTCAATAATTCTGCTGTCGACTTACGACACACCGCAACAGAAAAGTGACTTCCCCCTACCCCGCATCGTCTATCAATGCATTGTTAATGACGGCTCCGCGCAAGATTCTCACGTCAAATCATGACGGGCTGGCACGGCGCATGCGTTTCCTGTGGCAGTCCACAGGCGGTCTCCATTCAAAGCCTCGTCGCATTGACACATTCGCATTAGGATTATTTTTGGGAATCGATATTAAACCGTGATTATTGAATTGGGTTGCAGTTGAACGACTAAACTATTAGTGGAACAGATCTCAAGCCCACAGTATAGTCTCCAAAACCAGATGCTGCAGAGTGTCTGCCGCATGCAATTGGGACTCCTGCTTCTTGTCTGGCAGTGGAAATTGCATGTGCCTTGCTTTCTCAGTGGCTCATAATGCAGATAGCACCTCACGGGAGGATGACATCAATGTGGATTTGCCTTGCCCATGCCGTTCTGTCGAGTGGAGACAAAGGAGAGCACATGGTGGTGTTCCGCAGTACCTGCTGCCTCAAACTGCCAAACTGTCGAACAGATACCATCCCAAAGTACTCAAGATAAGGACCTGTGGTTATATATTAAATAATAAGTAAAAAATAATAATTGAATTATTATGAAAAATAATTCATATTAAAGGTCTAGTCCAATGTTGAGAACTCATGAGTTTTAGTGGGGTCTGATGTGGACCACTTTTGATGCAGTGGTGAGTTGCGTGAAACACTCGAATTGGAGGAATCAATGATATGGTGACTGTCGGAGCACGCGTTGTACCACCATTCACGCACGGTTTCATTTTAGTGGCGGATGATGGCTTATCCACCATGAGGTGAAGTCCTACTGGGGGTAAGATCATGAATCCCACGCATCCGGCACTTGTAGCAAGTTAGATCATCACGAGTTGCTTATCCTAGAAATCAAACCGTGTTCTACTTCAGTGCTTCAATCCACAGTTGGGAAGGTCCAGATGATTCCTGTGGAGTATGTGTCATGATTCATGCCCCCATTATTGCAAGCTCGAATGAGAAGAACTTGGTGATATGCTATCATCATATGATGCAATACCACTCTTTCTCCATCTCATCCCTTCCAGGTGGTGGCGGAATCCTCTCACACATTCACACTACTTGCTCCATAAACAAGCATATCTCGTTCCTTCTTCTTCGTTCTACATACGTCAACATCTTCTTCCGGATAAATTCATGCCACCGATATCTGCAAAAAAATAGTTTTGCCCCATTGATTTCTTGCATCTGTAACCCAATCTGTCCATGTTTACTCTTTCCTCCATCTCACTGGTTATGCTGAACCGATGACATCAGTGATCACGCTCACAAAGGTCGTATTATAAAGAAAGCGATATGGAAGAAAAGTTCGTGTCCTCATGCGTCAAAATCACTGGAGCTGCTCCTCACAGTGCATGGATAATGCAGGCAACAATTATTTGACAAGAACTGTTTTCTGTATTGAATTGTACTACAACTCCAAATCACCTTATTTTGTTTGACTAAACCAATAATTGCATTTGTTGTAGCATATCTATAAAATCTTAATTTTTATTGGGGGTAAATAAGTTAATTTATTTCTTTCCGATCTTATCTTTATATCCACAACTTTTATGTGATTGCTATGAACAGCTTTTATATATATATATATATATATATATATATATATATATATATATATATCTTTGTTTTATGCATTGTCCTAATGCCAACAGGAAAATGTGAAGCAATGTAATCAGGAAATGGCTTGCCACCTCACAGTAAATTGCAAGGATGCGGATGAAAGCTAAGCAAAAATGGTCAATGAATAGACTGGACACAAATTTCAACCACACATTCTTAGTCTTATTAAGTAATTAATTGATGAATATTCATAACTCATGCATCTGCTTAAGTATTTATTTAACGTGAAGTATGAATGGCTTAATGTTGTCAAGCTGTTAAAATTTTTACTATTTAATGAGTTATTTAATTATGATGAATCTTGTATTTAAAGTATTAATTTTTTTTATTGATATGTGATGTTATTATTTTATTATTTCATGTATTGTGAAATAGTTAAATGATTTATTATTTTATTATTTTCCATGTATCAAAAATCATGAATCATGTATTGGTTTTTCTTAATGATGCATAATAATACAGTGTTGACATGAGACATATGTGATTGAGTATTAATATTTATTATATATAATTTTAATTTTAGGTTAGAATCTTGATAGTTTTCTTATCATAGGTTTACATCTCATTGATAAATTTATGATTTGACATATGGGATGACATTTAAGTCGATCAAGGACGATGTCTCTAGGATAAGATTGGTTCTCTTGATTTATTTGAGTTTCATAATAATTTTTATTTTTAATTTGAATAAAAATATGTATATAATACGACATATAATATGAAAAGTAGATAAAAGAATATATAAAAGAGAAATATGTATGATGTTTGATATGATTTTGATCCAACTTATCTGACATACATTAAATATGGTGTATTATTTATTTGAATATTATTATTTTATTATGTATAATTTGAGTAAGTATTGGAATAAGTATGTATTATGTATTATTTATATGATTATTTTTTATGGTATCAGTATATGATCAATATATAATAATTATGAATCATTTATTATGAATATACTTGTGGTTTACAAGACACATTAGTAAATCCTTTTTGTTGGTGTATAGTCCATTATTATACTTATTCATATTGATTCAATGTATTATTATTAGATTATATGATCTTATTTAATTAGATAAGATATATTATAGATATAATTAGATTTTAATTATAACTATCTGTCAATAAAAAAAATTAATTATAGTAGAATTTTTTAGAAGATGATCTTGATGGGAGAGACTCTCCTAATTGTTATCCTAGACCATCTGCTCTCACATATAAAAATATACAATATACTAGGGATGAAATACTAGAAATTAATATTATAGATTTATTTTGAATCTCCTTTAGCCTTTATTTTATCACTCAAAGTAAGTGATATCGCTATTTGTTTTCGATTTTTACATTAAAGTTCTTAATATAATAATGGTATAATTATAATTTTATGATACAATTAGTGTTAAAACATTATTCGTATTAAATTGATAGACTACTATTGATAACTTGTTGTCCATGTCAATATTATTATTGAGGACGATAGCCTCCGATGGTCATCAGCCTAGTCATGAGTAGTAATTATGTATAGGTACTTCAGCATCACAAGGTGTGACAATTGATGATGGTTATATGCAATAATTGTATAAGTGTAATCCCACATTATACATCATAATATATATGTGCTATTTCACACTGTATATCATAATATATATGTGTACTCCTACACCACATGCCAAAATACATATATGTACTTTCACACTACATGTTATAGTATATATATATATATATTATATCGTAATATATTCGTATACTTTCATACTGTATATGATAAAAAACACGTGTACTCCTATACCACACATCATCATATATATACATATAAGATATTTTTATTATAATTCATATATTTTTATATTTATATAATATATACATTTACATTTAGGTCATGACTAGATCATGATGATCATATCTATCAAAATATACTTTCCAAAATATATTACGCATACAATAATTTATACAACCACTATTAAAATATGAAAAGCCATAATTAAGAATCCTACCTCTCAAATTATTGATTTATAATCATTCTTAGCAGTAATTTATAGAAAAAGTTTGATAACATTTCTTACAAATAAAATATATTCAATCTAAAAAATTATCTAAATTTCATCATCAATTTTTAACAATTCACTCTATAAATAAATAAACTAGTTAGTAACAATCAAACTATCGCACAATTCTATGAAAAAAATTTTCTTTGCTATTCTAGTTTACTAAACAATCTTGAATTATTAAAAAAATTTGTAGAAGACTAGGAGATATATAAAACTAAGTACATACCAAAATTTAACTTAAAATCAAATTATTTAGAGGCTAAACTACCCTCTTAATTCAACTATCAATAATTGTTCTATAATTGTTCTATTCTATCGAAATTGGGTTGGGACTATATAAACTTATAGACCTCATATCTTGGTGCACAGAGGTAGTATTCACTCAATTCTAAATCTCATAAGACTCTAAGGGAACCTTTTAAAATATATTAAAAGATCAAAACCTAATCATATCCCTAAAAGAGCTAATTTAACTTAAATAGAACTTCTTCTTAGAAAATAGGGGATTCTGAGTATCTTAGATTAGGACAATAATAACTCTATGCACTAATTTCAAACTAAGATCATACTAAAGACTTTAGAATCATAAGAGAATTATACAAAATATATCCAAAAATTAAAAATAAATTCAAAGTCTAACTTACTCAAAAGCAATTGAAAAAATTAGCCTATAATTTATCTATAAAACTGAAACCCTAAGTATAGTAAAGGAAAAATTAGATTTTCTTACTTCAATCTTCCTTAAAAATATGGTTTCTTAGCTTTTACAAAAAAAAAAGCTAAAAGAATAGCTGAAGAAGAAGAGAAAAGGACATGGGTTATTAGGGAGGTAAAGAGGATGAGATCGAATTAAAGTAGAGATACTTGACAGATTGTCTTCAAGTCAAGAGTTCAATTTCATTGGATCTCATTTCAAGTTTTTTTTCTTTTCTTTTCTTTTTTTATTAATATAATTCCAATGTTGTAGTGCCTTTTATTAAGCTCAATGTGGTCTAACAAAGATAATATTTTTGGTTTAAATTCATCATTCAATCTGACTTATGTATCTCAATATTTACTATAACACTCTTCTTTGATTTGTATCTCTATTTATTTTTTTATTACTCCATCCATACTTAAGTAGCTTATGATCCTCTATATATATAATGTTTAAAATATAAACT